ATCAATTTTGTGATTGTGTTTATACTATAGTCTTTGACAAAGATACGTGCATAGTCGAGCAAAATGATGGGTTTATGCTTTTTACTCCTTAGAGAAAGAATAATCTCTATGAGATTAATCTAACTAGTTTAATCAAATAGAACATAACATGTCTATTGTCCAGAGAAAATGAAAAATGAATTTGGCACAAAAAGCTTGGCCAGGGGTGTTCAAAAACCTATATTAAACTATACTATTGTAAAAACTAAACTAAACTAAACTATAAAAAACTAAACTAATTTTTATAAAAACTAAACTAAACTATATTTGAAGTTTAGTTTTAAAAACTAAAATATTATAAAAATTAGTTTAGTGCACTTTAATTATTAAAAAAAACTTATAATTAGGAAATATTCTAAATAATTAATTAGAACTAAACTAATAAATAATTGGATTAAAATAGAAAAAACTAAATTATTTTTATAAAAATTGAACTAAAATGAATTTTATGTTCAATTTTATAAATCTAAAATTATTTTCTAAAGAGTAGTTTGTTAGACCAAACTATTAATAAAACTGAATTCTTATTATTAATACATTTTTCCTAACTTTTCAATTTTGTCTATTGCCCACTTTTGAGTTAATATACTAGTGATTTAGTGCTATTGTGCACAACTACATTTTTTTAATTAATTTACAGGATTAAAAAAATTATTTTCATTTATTAATTGAATAAAAATTTATATACCTTTCGTAATTATTACTCTTTCAATATTTTTAATATAATCATTATAAAAAATAAAAAAAATGTATTATATATGTATGTACAAACTTCTCTCTTTATTATCCAAATAATTTTATTTTTGATGTTAAAAAAATATTATTATTAATAAAAAGTTATAATATTAATTAATTGAGTTTACAATATTATAAAAGTAACAGTATATATTTTTATAATATTTTTTAAAAGTCATACTATTTTGTAAAGAACATATTAGTTTTAAAAAAAAATAGTTACATGTAATATTTATATATTATTTTTAAAATTTTTATTTAATAATTAATAAGATTAGTAAATTGATTGAAAATTAATAAGATTTGGTTGATTTTCAAAAAATATGAATGAAAGATCTATCATGTGGAATTTTATTAATGTTATGCTTGTTTTACATTTCAAACTATTTTAAATTTAATTCATAATTAGTATCAATGATTTGGTAGCTCAATTTAAAAATGTTGATTTTAATTTTTTTTTTAATGTAGTTCAATTTAGTTTATAGTTAATAATAGTTTAATTTAGTTGATATTATAGTTTAGTTCAAACTCCTAGAACTATAGTGCACTAAACTAGATAATAGTTTAGTTTAATTTAATCAATATTTATTTTAGTTCAATTCAGTTTGGTGAACTATTTATTATAGTTCAGTTTAGTTTTCTTTTAATTTAGTTCAATTTAGCAATTTGAACACCTCTAAGCTTGGGCATGCCAATACGAAACATATTTCAAAAATAACCAAAAAAGGTTTAGTGAAAGGACTACAAAAGATCTCTTGGAAAACTCATATTCTTTGCAAAGCATGTTTGAAGGGGTAATAGATTAAAACATCTTTCAAATATAAGAAAATTATTTTCACTTATAGACCACTAGAGTTGTTATATAAGGATTTATTTGGTCCAACTAGGACATTTAGTTTGGGAGGTAAAAGTATGGATTTGTCATTATAGATATATATGGGTATACTTCCTAGGCCACAAACACGAGTCGTTTAAAGACTTTAAAATATTCTAAAAATGTGTTCAAAACAAAACAAAAAGGTTTTTGCTTTGTTGTCATAAAAAATGACCATGGAATTGGGTTTGAAAGTTCTAATTTCAAAACTTTTTGTGAAAAACATGGTATATTTCACAACTTTCTTCATCGCGAACATCTCAACAAAACAGAGTAATTGAAAGAAAAAACCAAACTTTACAAGAAGTGGCTAGAACACTTCTTTGAGAAAACAATTTTCCAAACACTTTTAGGGAGAAGTAGTGCAAACAACATCTTATATTTAAAAACATAATATTAATAAGACCACTACTAAACAAGACTCTCTATGAATTGTGGAGAGGAAGAAGAACTAACATTTCATACTTCCATCCATTTAGATGTGAATGTTTTATCCTAAACACCAAGGATCAACAATGTAAGTTTGATTTCAAAGTGGACAAGGGTATCTTCCTTGGATATTCTGATACTTCAAAGGCCTATAGAGTTTACAACTCTAGAACCTCTATAATAGAAGAATCTATCCATGTGAAATTCAATGATATACTAACGACTGATAGGAAACTATCAGATCTAAAAAAGGAATTTGTAGATTTGTAGATCAATGCAAAGAAGTCAAAGGAGTCAAATGCTACTAATCAAACAATGGTTATGCCAAAAGGGCAAACGAAGTAGTTGGACGAAGCTTCCAAATCTCATAGAGATTAGAAGTTCGTCAACCATTATCCACAAGATCAAATTCTTGGTGATAAGGTTAAAAAGCTCAAAACAAGGTCTACTCTTAGAGGTAGTGCCTCATATATATGCCTTTGTGTTAGACATTGAACCAAAAAGCATAGACGAAACCCTTGGTGACAACAACTAGTACTAGCTATGGAAGAAGAGCTTCATCAATTCTAAATGAATAATGTCTGGACTTTAGTCCCAAGGCTAGATCATCAAAGCATCATCTGAACAAGATGGGTTTTTAGAAACAAGCTAGATGATCAAGAAAAAATGGTAAGAAATAAAGATAGATTAGTAGCATAAGACTACAATCAACAGAAAGGTATAAAATTTACTAAAACCTTTTCACCTATTGTCATACTTAAAGCTATCAGAATTATGTTAGCCTTTGTTGTTCACAAAAACATTAAACCTTTTTTAAATCGAATTATTGAAGAAAAAGTTTATGTTAAACAACCTCTTGGTTTTGAAAATCCATATTATAAAGAACATATTTTTAAACTAAAAAATTTTCTTTATGGTCTAAAATAAGCTCCTAGAGCTTGGTATGAAAGATGAAATAACTTTATCCTAAATAATGGTTTTGTGAGAGACAAAATTGACACAACTTTTTTTAGAAAATAATCTAGAACAAATTTTATAGTTGTGCAAAATTATGTTGATATTATTTTGGTGCTACTAATAAATCTTTTGGTAAGGATTTTTCTAAGCTGATGTAGAACGAGTTTGAAATGAACATGATAGGTGAGTTGAAGTTCTTCCTAGGACTTTAGATCAAACAAACAGACGAAGACATCTTTTATCATAAGCAAAAACATACAAAATAGTTTCTCTCAAAGTTTAAGATGAATGACTGTAAACCAATGCCTACTCTTATGCATCCATTTGCGGATCTGTTAAAAGAAAAATCAAGTAAACCAGTAGATCAAATAATCTATAGAGGTATGATTGGATCCCTTCTTTACTGATTGCAAGCAAACCTAACATCATGTTTAATGTATGCCTATGTACAAAATTTCAGTCTGATCCTTGAGAATCTCATCTTAAAACTATAAAGCGTATCTTTAGATATCTTGTAGGTTCTACTAATCTCAGTTTGTTCTATGAGAAAAATAACGATTTCAGGTTAGCAAGATTTATGATGCAGACTATGTTAGGGACAAAATTAAAAGAAAAAACACAAGTGGAGGATGTGACTTCATAGGAAACTGTCTCATTTCATGGACCAGCAAGAAGAAAAATTCAATAGCTCTCTCCATTGTAGAGGCAAAGTACATTTTTATAATAGGACATTGCTCAAACCTCCTATGAGTGAAGTGTCAATTAGAAGACTATTCTAGTATTGAAAATCATATACTCATTTTTTGTGATAATACAAGTGCTATAAATCCTTTAAAAAATCCTATAAAACATTCCAAGACTAAGCACATTGAAATAAGATATCATTTCATTCATGATTATGTTCAAAAAGGATTTTCTTACATAAAATTTATAAACACTAATCACCAATGGGTTGATATTTTTACAAAGACTTTAGCTAATGAACGTTTTAAATTCATTAGAGACAATCTAAATTTAAAATGTATATCAGAATACAAATGTTGCATCGTCTTACTATGCTTCATCTAACATGCATCATCTTATACATTGTGGATATATATTAGTTTGTGCAAATTTTGAAGTTGTAGATGCTTCCAAATCCATGGTGTTCCAAGACCATGTCTCTCTCTTGTGCTTGCTCTTGTTGTGCTTACGACTACTATCGTTAGAGAAGAATAAACTGAACAATATTAAACACATTTTGTGTAACACCCCGATTTTTATAAAATTATATTAATAATACATAGTATTTATTTTAATGTTTTAATGTGTTTATTAGAAGAATTTTTAATATTATTTAGTTATTTGATACGAACTTTATTTTTATATAAAACATATGCTATTTTTACTAAAAGGGAGAAGTATATTTTATATTATTTATCTATTTTATGTGAGATCCATTTTAATATAAAAATGATTTTTAATTAATATTTAGATTATTTTCTATAAGACTATTTTTATGAAAATATGTTTTTATCAACAATTATGTTTATGTTATTTATTAAAAAGACAAAATATGTTTAATTATTTTATGAGAAGGAAAGGTGGGACATACACTACAAGAAAAAATAGAGTTAACGTGGGTTATTTTTTGTATTACCCGCGGTTAAAACCTCCAGAAAATGTATTTCCTGCGGTTGTGATTTTCGCCGGGAAAGCATCCGTGACAAACGATTTACCAGCGGTTTTTGACAACCCCCAGAAGTGCGCATAGCATACCCACGGTTTTGTAACCCCCGTTAACGACATAGTCTACCAGGGGTTATAAACCCCCGTTAACCCCCGTTTCCAATCCCTGCTTCCAAGCCTTGTAGAGCACTACTACAGCGCCTTCGACACCAACAGAGCAGGCTTGGTGGGTCTCTATCAGGATGGTTCCATGCTCACCTTCGAGGGCCAGAAGATCCAAGGCGCCCCCTACATCGTCACCAAACTCACTTCCCTCCCTTTCCAGCAGTGCCACCACTCCATCTCCACCGTCGACTGCCAGCCCTCCGGCGTCAACGCCTGCATGCTCGTCTTCGTCAGCGGCAACCTCCAACTCGCCGGAGAACAGCACCTTCAAGGATAAATTGTTGGAAGATTACTGCGTTTTGAAGATTAAAAACTTTGAATTTATTTGTGATCTAAGATATTGGAACCATGTTGATCCAGTTTACCCCTACCATTTAGTAAATGCTTGTCATAAAAAAATAAATTGGAAACGCACTTTGGTGGGGGGTGCGGTCTGGGAAAGCTCTTGGTTGGGGATGATAACGGGCCAGGATTCGCCTGCTTCGCGGAACATCTGCTCGGTCTCGAAGTATTGACCCTTTTTCAGAATGAGGCTTCTTATGCTCTGAGCGGGCGTGGAGGTGGCGTCGAAGACTTGCTCAAAGGTCACCGTTATCTGCGGCGGACGCTCTTCCCTTCCGCGCTTCACCTCCACTTTGCACGCCGGGTTCGATTCCTTCGCCTTCCGCGAGTTGCATTGCGCCGAGTATGAACGAAAGAGGTGGAGGAAGGCGAGGGAGTCGGAGGGAGAGAAGGAGGGGAGGGTTTGGGTGATGTGGCGGAGGAAGAAGGGGGTTGGGGTTCGCCATTGCGAAGCGGAATGAAGGAGGGGGCTTAGGGTTTGGTGAGAGAGGGAAACCAAAAGATAAGGGAGAGGGAAATGAAAAAAAAATAATTATCATTACAAAAATAAAAAAAAATTTAAAAAAATAATATATTATTAAAATATACCAACGGTTTTAAATTTTAACCCCTGTAATTTAATAATACTTAACGAGGGTTATTGAAACCCCAGTTAATTACTTATGTTCCCGAGGGTTAGCATAACCCTCGTTAAAAAAACCCAGTTAAATACATATTTTTTTGTAGTGATAGTGGTCTTTTGCTAAATATTATTATTATTATTATTATTATTATTTATTTTTATTATTTTTATTATTTTTAAGAAAGAAGGTGGTTAGGAAGGCCCAATTCTTCCCGTTTGTGTGCATGTGACATATCTTGCGTGGCTTCGCTATCCCGACGAGGCCCTAACAATACATCATTCTAGTTGAGAGTGTGCAGTTGAGCCGACATGTACTCCTAGACTACTTTAGGTATGTTGCTTCGACAACATATCACATGATATGTGATTATGAGACACGTGACTGGCGCCACATGCATGCATTTATGAGTCGAGTCCATGACATCATTGCATGATAAATGAATGTGCATGTGATACTGATTATGTATGTGTATTGTTTATATGTGATTTGTGCTTGTGATTTGCATTATATTTGTTGTATGTGTGTTGTCTAACATTTATTTTTGCACCTAAACCTGAGTGAGATGTTTCTCACTCCCCTGTTGCTCTTTGTATGTGTTTAAATTGTGTTGCAGGTGATCATCAGTATGAGAATGTTGGTGATGAGACTTAGGCTTCAGTTGGGCGTGCTCTGATAGAATATGTGACATCGATGAATAATTAGGCTTAGTTTACGATTTCATTATTGTTATTTTGTTTTGGAAAAACTCATGTTTCATTTTCTTATAAATTCCGCATTTGACCATGATTTACGTTTATGGATGTGAATTCTCTATTCTTATGTTAGTGGAATCATTGTTTTAATTCAAAATATTTTATTTACTTCAAGAATATGTTTTTATAATTCTTATATATGTATGTTGAGGTAGAGGGTATCACCTTTTGAAATTATAAAGTGATAATCCTTCGTAGAAAATAACAAATATATTTAACAACCCTAGTAAGACTATTTGAAACATTATTTACACATGAAATAATAACAAGGACTAATCGAACTAATTTAACAAGTCTCAAAACTAAATTGAGAATCAACTATACTTATAAAGACTAAATTATATGTACATGTTATAAAAATTAACCTATTATAAACGAGTCTTACGAACTTTGATTTAAAAAAATAAAAAAAATCTATTTTTGTGTCTTATTTCTATATTCTAAACATAAATTTTATTGTCGGTTTTTAAAATTTATCAAATATGCTTATTATTTGTTTTAATTTTCTTTGTGCTTTAATCTTCTTATTCACTTTACCATCATAGTCTAAAATCACTCGACACCCATCATCAACATGGTTACACCACCATCCCTTTTTCTTCTTTTCCTTAAAACTTTGATCTCTCTTTTCTTTGCACCACCCATCATTTGAACCATCAAAATTCATAAATCACTGAAACCATGGAATCACCACCAACTCACCACCATTCATTCACACCGCAACACACCCCCACATGTTTCTGTGGGTCCCACAATCTACATATTTAAATACCCTTACCCTCCCCCATTCTTGCATAAACAAAGACACAAACACCTTCGAAATTAAACTCATTTTCTTTTCCACTCTTCACACATTTATTTTATTAACATTATTCTTTCAATACTCCTCATGGCATTCCAAGCAATCCCTTACAAGTCCTTTGCCATTGCCCTCATTGTGGCGCTTTTCTTCGCCGCTGCCACCGCCCAAGCTCCGGCGCCGTCGCAGGAGCCGGCGACGGGATCTGCTGCCGGAGCTCCCGGAGCACCCACCGCACCCGGAGCACCCGCCGGAGCCGCCGTCTCCGTCACAAGCTCGGTGGCGGTGATCGGAGCTTCGGTGGTGCTCTCAATGCTCGCCATTTTGAAGCACTGAATCTCATCATTCCGTATATATTCATTTTCCTGTGGATTTCGTGTCAACAGAATTTTGTTGTGATTATTATGAGTTGATATATGTGAATAACGGAGAGAGGTTTTACCATTTTACACTATTTCAATAATATTGAACCATTCATTTTAGGTGTTAGTGAGAAAAATAAGAAGCATTTTGATATCTTAACATGTCTTTTTGTTACCTCTTCCTACAAAAATTTTCTCCGTATGTTCAACTAGAGAATCAAACTCAGAACACAGCCATACACCAATTGTAATAAATTTTGTTCCTTTGTTATTAATAAATTATTGTCATTATTTTAATTTTTGTGGGGTAGGATACTGATGCACATGTTCTCCAATTTTCTGATTGATCGATGGTGATCACTTTTATTTCTATTCCTTTTCTCATTTCTAACAGTTTATTTTCCTCAAAATAACCTCTTTTTTTTTTTTTTTTTTTTTTTTACAAATATAATATGATTAACGTTAATTTTTTGTTAATAGTACGAGTAGTTGTCTTTCTAGAAAATCTGGAGTTGAAACATTGTAGGTGGGAAATTTTCCAACAGTTTTAATTCAAGTTGTCTTGTAAGAAGACTAGCAAAGTATTTCCACTGGATAATTATTTTTGGTTAGTTAACCGAAGAGCAGAGAATTCGTTTGAGATTTTTTTTTCTACTTGTAAAAATATTAAAAAGATTGAATTGCAGGTTAATATTGACCTTCCAACTCCAATGATTAGTTGATATAACTATACAAACTTTATTTGAATAAAAATTTAAATAAGGAGGTCAAAAACATTTGAGACATTGAAATATAATTATGTTATTTAGATGAGAAGAAAAAAATAAAAATAAATAAATAAACTATATAAAAATAATACTAATTAAAAATATTTAAGCTTGTACTTTATTATTTTATAAAAAAAATTAAAAACTAAAACAGAAAAATGAAACACTTGCCTTTCCCCACTTTTCTCATCTATTGAGGGAGAACTCTTTTAAAGGAAATTTAGTGTTTCATTTAACTTATTATTTATTACTTATTAACACCCAATTATATATTTCTCCCTGTTTTATTTATTATCCATTTTTATACATCTTAGTGTGTTTATTTTATGGGCTAAATTTGTATTTTTGAGAGTGTAAATACGAGAATATAATATTTTCATATTTGTGTTTCAAGCTTTGGAAAATTATTTTGGTTTATTATTTATTCATTGCATAGTTATCCTATTATGTTTTTATACATTTTTATTTTCGTTATGTAAAAAGAAAAATGACATTCTTATGCGAATATAAAAAGTTACTTTTTTAACACACTTGTAATTTTTATTTTAATTATTTTAAATTTCAAAAAATATTTCTAAGAATATCATAATGTAAACAAACATGTTTGTAAATATAAAATATAAAAAATATTTTTTTAACACATTTGTTATTTTGATTTTTAATTATTTTATTTAAATTATTTTAAATTTCAAAAAATATTTATAAAAATATTATAATGTAACTAAACATGTTTCTAAATATACCTAGAATAACACTCTCCTATACTTATAATATTCTTATAAATGTGATTCTTATATATATAATACCTTGAAACAATTGTCTTCTTAATAATGATAGTTAAATAATTAAATTATCTTTTTGATTCAATAATTAACAAAATGAAAGGAAAAAAAAAAACAAATGTTGAGCTCAATGTGTATAAATATAGAGGAAATTACTTCTTCCATCCATTTGTTTAGATGTTCTAATCATCATAAATAGAAAGGACACACAATACAGAAAAATATTCAACTACTTTGGGCTAGTGACCCAACTCTCACTTAATATTAAAAAAAAAACTTTTTATTTTGACAAAAAAAATGCTTAATTTTACTTTTATTCGTACATAGTCTCTAATATTTATCATTTTGGTTTTTTTTTTGTTTTTTTTTTGTTTTGGTACATTATTTTGGTTTCTCTTTTGATTGCGTTGATTTAGTTTCTAATTTTATTTAATATTAAATACTTATTTATTTAAATTTATAAATTAAAAATGAGTAATATTGTAATGTGATGAAAAAATAAGAAGGAAATAGAAAGAAAAAGGACATGAAAAAGAAAATGAGTCCATGCTTAAATTTAATGTATAAAAATATTAAAAATTAAAATGATATAAAAATATTTATTTGTCAAATTAATATTATTATTTTCATTTTATAAATTTATAAATTACAAAAATATTTATTAAGTTATATAAAATGGATTTATATATATATATATATATATATATATGCATGTACATATATATATATATATATATATGTGTGTGTGTGTGTGTATGTATATTCTAATTTACATATATACATTTTTCTTAGTTGCATACAAATTATTTATTAATTATATATTTTTTGTAAATATGTACTTAGTACTTTAAATATGAGATAAATTCGTTTTTGTGCCTTGAATTTGAAAAAACAAAACTATTTTAATCTATGTTCTTAGACATTAATGTTAATGAATCTATTAAATAAAATCCAGTTACTATTGAATATGTGATACAAAATTCATCATCTTTGTTAAGGAAACATTATTTGAAATCTAGTTAATTTCACGTTATAGGCTAACTTAGAGACTTAAAAAATTTCTTTTGAAATTACATTGAATAAAAATATTAGTTTTAAATTTTTGGGACAAAAAATAAATTTATTTTAAATTTAAAGAATTAAAAACATATTCTAATACTTTATTTTTTATATATATTTTACATGTTTTGACTAACTTTTTTTTTAATATTATAAGTCAATAATTTACATATATATATATATATATATCAATTATTATTAATTATATAAATTTGATTTCTCTCCCTCCACAGTGTCCAGCCTCTACCGATTGTATGATTCCGATGAGGTCCCTCACTGTGGCCCCTCCGTTCCCACCATCCCCTTACATATATTCCCTAACCAAAACTTGTAAATTATAATCTTTATTTTAATTTAATATATTAGTAGGTATAATTATATTTTAACGCGCGCGTTCCAGCTGTTTTTATTGGCACTGTCTGCCACCTTTTTTTTTTAGCATGTGTTCATGCAGGTCATATACTCTAATATACTACAAGAATTTTATATAGCTCCAACAAGAAAGTGTTTAAACAATTACAAAGAAAAAAAATGGGGTTAACAGAATAATTAATCATCACATTCCAGGCTTATGATACACGAGGCAGCCAATTTTGTATCCATAAAGTTCAGATCTTGCATCACTATACTGATCAAATCATGGTTAGGTGTACAATCTGTCTATGGAACTTGCAAGTTTCTTTATATAATTTTTATCTATATATATTATATCATGACATATCATCCATGAGAGAAAGTAACAAGTTATCCTCATTCCTTGTTACATTTTAGTCAACATGGAAACCATGTCCACAACACCTTTCACTGTGAAGGCTCTTGAGCAATGCAAAATCAAATCCCCTCCCAACACAGTTCCAAATACCTCAATCCTTCCCCTAACCTTCTTTGATCTTCCTTGGCTTTTCTTCTCTCCAACTCAACCCTTGTTTTTCTATGAACTCCCTCACTCACCCTCTCATTTCACAACCACAATAGTCCCAAAACTAAAGAAATCTCTCTCTTTCACGCTTCAACATTACTACCCTTATGCTGGTAGATTTGTACCCTCTTCTGATCTCATCACCAAACCCCATATCACTTACACTGATGACATGTCAGTTGAATTCACAATCTCTGAGTCAAATGGAGACTTCAAACAGTTTTGTAGCAATCACCCTAGAGATGCCAAAGATTTTCACTTACTTGTGCCAAAATTGGCATCAAGCATTTCATCAAGTGAAGTCAAAGAGTTTCCTTTACTAGCTATTCAAGTAACACTGTTCCCAAATGTTGGTATTTGCATTGGCCTTGCTTGTCACACTGTTGTTGCTGATGGGAGGACCTTCCACAATTTCATGAAGACATGGGCCTCACATTGCACCTTTGGATCAGCTTCAGCATTTCCAACGAACTCACTTCCATTATGTGATCGAAGTGTGATTGTTAATGAAAAGGGTCTTGAAGAGGTTTTCTTGGAAGAATGGACAAAGAGAAGACTAGAGAAGAACATTGCCATAGGTAGAGAAGCTAACTTGGTAGATCTATCAAGTATGGTTAGAGCCACTTTCTCAATGAGTATCACTCAAATGGAGAAAATGAAGCTCTTGATTATTAACTATTGCAAAGAAAAGAACAAGCCTCGGCTTGAGCCTGTTCGTTTAACATCTTATGTGTTAATTTGTGCATTTGTGTGGGTTTGTTTGGTCAAAACCCATCAAAGTGTGAATGAAAAAGCGAACCATGAAGACCCCACTTACTTTGGATTCATTGCTGGTGGCATGACTAGATTGGATTATCCAGTTCAACAGACATATTTGGGTAACTGTGTTGGCTTTTACAGGGCATCTGAAAGAAGAGAAGAGCTACTTGGAGAAAATGGGATAGTGGTTGCAGCTATAGCAATTGTAAGCGTGGTTAAGAAGCTTGATGCATTATATTTTGATGGGGCTGATAAATGGATTTTGGATTGGGAGGTGTTGCATGGCTCAGAGCAACATGTACATGCTGTTTGGTCTCCGAAATTGAAGTTTTATGAGTTGGATTTTGGGTGGGGAAGGCCCAAAAAGATAGAGGAGGTATCAATTGATCATACAAGAGCTGTTTCAGTTATACATAGTAGAGAGTTTGAGGGTGAAATTGAGATAGGCTTGGCTTTACCCAAGAGTAAGATGGATGTTTTCTCTAGTTTATTTACTCAAGGACTTAGTGCTTTGCTTTGATCAATGAATGTGGCTTATGTGCTTTGCTTTGATGAATGAATGTGGCTTATGATATAATCAACAAATCATTTGGTGAATTTTTTACACAATTAAACTTATTTATTGTAACAGCTCAGAATTTGGTCCGCAGAAAGTTGAATATGAATTTCCTCGTCTCCATCTTTGGTTAACAATTCTTGTCAAAATTCGGTCTCTAGGAAGTCGAATTCCGAGCAACGTATTTTTTTTAATGTTAATTTTTGTAAAATTATAATTTATATTTTTAATTTAAAAAATAAAATAAAATATGTATATAAAATTAATAAAAATAAAATAATGTTATGTTTATAAATTTATTTAAATATGTAAATTTTTGTTAATAATTTATAATATTAATATGGTAAATTAATTATGAACACAAATTTACATATTAAATAAAATAAGTTAATTAATATTAAATATTAATGTGTATTAATATTAATAAAATTATTTAATAATATTATGAAGATATTTATAATAGGTATATATATATATGTATATATATTTAATAGAAATCATAATGTATTTAAACCATATTTAATAATAATTTTTAAATATTATTATTGATAATAAGGTATTGATTTTAAAATTTTATTAAAAATTAGATTAGATAATTGTATCACTAATTGAAATAAAAACTAATAATTAAATTGTAATGTAAGTTGTCAGAAAGTGGTTAAATAAAAGGTAATTACTAACATTAATTTGGACATGATACATCGAAAAAAATAAGTTGTAGGCAACATAAATCAATGAAGTCCATGAACAATCACTACAAGAAAAATCAAGATTATCTACGGAAAAATCCGTAGATAAACATAAAAATCCGTAGATAAATGTCAATTATCTACGGATTATCTACGGAAAAAAATCCGTAGATAAAATGGTCGTAGATAACATTATCTACGGAATTTTCCGTAGATAACGTTATCTACGGAAATCTACGGAATTTTCCATAGATAATGTTATCTACGGAATTTTCCGTAGATAATGTTATCTACGGAATTTTCCGTAGATAATGTTATCTACGGATTTTTTCGTAGATAATGTTATCTACGGAATTTTTCGTAGATAACTCGTTTCAGGAAATTTTTATTTAATTTTAATAAATTTATTAAAGTAATAACCCTCATATTTGGCCTCTCAAGGATGCTATTTCATTACACTTCACTTTTCAACATGTTTTGTCCTTATTGCACATTTTCTGGGAAACTTCCCAGAAGGTCACCCATCCCTATACTACTCCAGGTCAAGCACGCTTAACTGTGGAGTTCTTATGAGATAGGCTACAGAAGAGCTAATGCATGTTATCAGTATAAGTAGTACAAATTAATTCATTTAAGTACAATCTCATACTTATACTATTTTTGGATCCCTCTCATTTTGGTATGTTCAGACCGCTATAAAAATATAAAAATATATATAATAATTATATTACCAATAATAATAATAATTATATTATATTTAATTAATATTTATTTATAAATATACTTACTTGTATAATTAACAATCTACTTATTTCTATTTAAAAATAATATTATGATACAATTTAAATTAATTATTATAAATTTAAAAGTTTAAATAATAATTTATATATTTTAAAATTATAATCTTAAATTTTCAATCATTAATAAAATACTAATTTAAAATCTTATCTAATTATATCCTAATATTTTCATATCAAATTTAAAACCATATATTAGTATGTTATTTTTTTTATCATCAATTAATTTATAAAAATAAAAAATTTAAGATGACAATTTTTAATAATATTTATTTTAAAATATTATAATGAATTAAATAAAATTTTAAAATATATTTTAATCATAAATAATTTTAAAATGTATTTTAATCAAAAATATATTTTTTGGTCAATACGATAACTAAAAGTATTATGATAAATAATTAAATTAAAAAAATTAAATCTTATAATGATTATTTTTTTAATGATGCTAAATTAAATATTCTAATTATTTTACAATAAATTAAAATGAAAAGATAATAAAATATGTTAATTGATGTTTCAAATATGTAACCTAAGAAATTTATTTACGGGTGAAGTTATCTACGAAAATTTCCGTAGATAACTTATCTACGGAATAATCCGTAGATAAGTTACCTACGGATATTTCCGTAGATAACTTATCTACAGAAAAATCCATAGATAAATTATCTATGGAAATTTCCATAGATAACTTATCTACAGAAATTTCTGTAGATAACTTATCTAATAACAATTTTAAAAATATTTATTTTAAAATATTATAATGAATTAACTAAATTTTAAAATATATTTTAATCAAAAATATATTTTTTGGTCGATACAGTGACTAAAAGTATTATAATAAATAATTAAATTTTAAAAAAATTAAATCTTATAATGATTATTTTTTTAATGATGCTAAATTAAATATTTTAATTATTTTACAATAAATTAAAATGAAACGATAATAAAATATGTTAATTGATATTTCAAATAAAATGTTTTACCTACGAAATTTATCTATGGGTGAAGTTATCTACGGAAATTTTCGTAGATAAGTTATCTACGGAAAAATCCGTAGATAAGTTATCTACGGAAATTTCCGTAGATAACTAAATATTACCTACGGAAATAATTCCGTAGGTAATATTCAGTAGATAACTAAAAATTATCTACGGAAAAAATTCCGTAGATAATATTCAGTAGATAACTAAACATTATCTACGGAAAAAATTCTGTAGATAATATTCCGTAGATAATAATCATTTTTCTTGTAGTGAATGTTTGGACATGTTTTCCTTGTGTGACCAAGGGTGTGACAATAGAAACAATGTTTTACACGATTTTGTTGTTCTCTAATGTCCATCTGTATTCTTATTATGCTTGACTTGGGTCGATCCTTGGAAGTTCTTTTCAATTCTGGATTTGGGCATAAAGTTGGGCCAATGTAAGTTGGCCAATAGTCTTCCTGTCTAAGTTCTTCAAATTGTCCTTTGTATACCTTATAGACTTGTTGTAAGGTATAGACGAGAGCTATGTAGATGTTAAAGTTGTGATGTGCGTGTAAGCATGAAGCAATTACATGCGAGCATGAGATATGAACTTTTTGGAACTTGCCATAGTCACACCAGATCTCATCTAACCTTACTATAAATCTCCCTACTGGTCGAACTTCTCCTGGATGTTGTGTCTCTTCCACTAAAAATCTTGTACTTGTTCTATCAAAGGTGATCACTCTATGAATGTTTGCCTTTGATTGTGCATCTTGAATTGTTTTTTATATAACCTCCGAGTAAAGATGTCCAACATTAATCATGGCATCTACCCCCCTGCCTCTCTCGACAAAGAATTTGTTGCAACGAGTGTATGTTGCCATGACCATGGAGAAAATTGGGAAGTTTCTTGTTTTCTTTAGGATCGAATTAATTAACTCGACTAGGTTTGTTGTCATGTGTCCCCAGCATCGTCCATTGTCCCATGCAAGCATCCATTTGTCCCTTGGGATGTTGTCTAACTATTGTGTTGCTTTTGGATCATTATATTTTACTATGTTGTAATAGTAAAAGAATCTAGGCTTAGTCAACCCATATGCTAAAAAAGTTTATAAATTAAATTAATACAACTAGCTAACCAAGTGTAGAACGTAATAATAACTGTAGAAAGTAATAAAATTACTCATATTGACGACATCTTTCTTCAGTGCAAGGTTTTTGAATCGTCGCATGATATTTTATGCAATATGTCTAATGCAATTACTACAAGAAATGTTACATATAGTGACATACAAAAAGTGTCACTATAGGTACAATATATGTAGGTATAGGTCTATTTGACATATAGTTACACTTAATTTTAGTGTTGATTTTGAATGAGATTTAACAACATATTTTATGTGTCACTATAATCTATACCCACACTTTTTAATAATGTACCAACATATATTGTATTTATTGTGTGGGTAAAAGTAATTTTTAGTAACATATATAATGTCACTATAGGGTGTATGTCACTATATGACAATTTTGTTATAGATATACACATGGACATAATTGCTTTCTGTCCAACCACTTCCATTTCTAGATTATGCAGTTCTGATAGTCTTGTGACGATCCAAAATGAGGCACAACCCATCTTGTGGTGTTACGTCCTCCATAGGTTTCCTAAAATAAATAAATAAAAGAACCATGCATCACTGGTTTCATCTTCAACTATAGCAAAGGCAATGAGAATTATGTTGTTGCAATTGTCTTGCATAACTTCCACCAATAACGTTCCTTTGTACTTTCAATACAAAAATGTTCCTTCCACTTGAACAATTGGCTTACAGTGAGCAAAACCATCAATGCATGGCTTGAACGTCCAAAATAGCCTCTTGAAGCAAATGTTGCCCTCGCCCAACACGTCACCTTAGTACGCCAATTGTGTACTCAACTTCTAAATGAAGCCGGGAACATACAATTGCAATGCTTGTAACAAACTAGGTAACTTGTGATACGACTCCTCCCAATTTCCAAAAATGTTTTCAATTGCTAGTTGTTTCGCCAACCATCCCTTTTTGTAGCTAATAGTATAACCCATTGTTGACTTTATGTAAGCTATGATGATTGAGATGAGTGTTGAAGGATCAGCCTCAATAATTTCATGAATGGTTTGGGAAATCATTCGTGATCTCAACTTATTATGATCCCGTGAAATCAACGGTGAAACATTAGGATAATTGTTAATGGCACCATCAAAGTGAATAATGACATATATTGAAGACATGTTTTCAAAATAAGAAAGGTTGAAAGAGATTTTGAGAGTGAAGAAAAGGAACAAGCTTAGAAGGAGAATGCAAGTGTTTGAGTTAAGAAAAGGAACAAGCTTAGAATGAGACTACTCGTGTTTTTGAGTGAAGAAAATGAACAACGTTATGGCTATTTATAATGGTAATTGTTTGTTTGAAATTAAACAAAATTTGAAATTCGAGTCTTGGATGTCTATAATTGTGGGGCCCACATTCTACAAGTAATATGATGACCTCTTAGCCACGCCTTCTCTTCTCCAAAGCAAACATTGATTCCTTTTAACGTGCACATTCTATGAATCTTGGATTCCTTTCTCAGTCATGCATTCTCTACTCCCACGCAAGGAAGCATTGATTCCT